TCTCTGTAGATGTTCATTGAAATGAAAAATAAACAACCTAAATTTAAAAAAGTTTCGACTAAATTTATGATTCAATTCCTATTGTCCACGCTGCACCTCAGACCCTCCAGGTTTTAGTGGGCTCAAGAGAATTCAGCCGATTTCCCCACTAACCTTTTTCCTTTCAGTTGAGTCTCAATGCAGCTCAGCCCAGCTCGTGGATTCCAGCTTTTGCTGGGTCCGCGGTGGGACCACTGTGGGACCGCTGCAGGACAAGCAGGCAGGGCTCCGGTTTTTAAAGCTTCTAAAATAATGTATTAGCAAAAGTTCTGATTCAAAATCCTACTGTTCGCGTCACGCTGTGATGGTCAGTCTCTGTGGAGCGTAAAGTACTCTCTGGTATCCTCTCTACACAGGCTGCTATCGCTCTGGCTCTTCACACTGTGCTCTCCACCTCCGCCATCTTCCCCGCCCTCCACCAATTTCTTTTGGTGCAATGACTCTGAATACTCTTTCTATCTTCTTTTAATACTTCCTGGATCATTTCATATTCTGCCAAAAGCATCCTTAAGTATTGCAACTCGAGGCTTGAATTTGTTCTTTAGTTCCTTGAACTCAAAAAATGCTTAGCTAGAAACTAAAAAAAAACTCTTAATTCATGGCCATCAAGTTGAAACCAAGTCATAGCTGAGCGCATCATATTTAACTCTAAGTCACCTAAAAGCAAACAGCAACAAAAATTAAGAGAGAGATTACCACCTTTCTCCTATGGAACCACTACTGGATTTGAACTGAGAGAGAGGTACCACCTCTGTGTTAGCAGCACAGCCCCTATCCACAAGACCACCAGAGCTCCCTAATTAGTTCCCTATTCCTACTTGTGAAAAGAGGCTTCTATTTTTTTTCCTATAAAACAAGAAAATATGTATAATGTTTACCAAATAAGTTTCTTATATTAATGAATAAATATGTGTAAAATACTTAGAAGTGTGAGTCACACATAATATTCAGCCAAGTTTTGTACTGAAAGAATTAAAAGCACAATCTAGTTGTACAAAGCATGATGTCTTCAGGTTATAAATCCTAAATATACTTGATTGATCTTTTGCTTTATTATTAACATCTTTGTCTATATTAAACACAAAAGTTCAAATAAGTCAAAGGGAGTAAAAATAATATTCTCTAAAGGCAGGATTTTAGTGAAATGTGTTGAACTTTGTATCAATAACCTATTTTTTTTCATGTGCCCTTGCATTCCAGTATGTCCTGTGGTGCCACATTTAAGGCCTTTATTGCTAAATGAAGTTAGCAGTTCAGGCTCACTAGTTATACGCTGGGGCAAGATGTGGCAGTCTGCTTTGCTAAGATTACAGTCTTGGAAGTCTTTTGGACGGCTCTACTCTGTTCCACAGGATTGCTATAAGCTGGAATTTACCCAACAGCAATGGATTGGTTTCTAGGGTTTTTTTTGGTGTGTTTTTCTTTTCTTTTTAGACTCAATATGATCGATGACTGGCTTAAGAGATATAAAAGGTCAATAGCACTGTGATAGATTTCTTTGTGTCAATGACTAATAGTAATAGCAATAACCATAGACTTAAATATCACAAATTATTTTCAACTATATTATCTCTTAGATACTAACCTAATGTTAACTGCAGAAAAACATTACTGGCCATTTGATTATCCAAGTTTCTCACGTAGTTCTTATCCTTGTGACATAGGACCTTAAAGTGTTACCCATTTGTTTCAAGGCAAACTAGGCCAGTCCAAGTTTACCGTAACAAAATAGAAAGTGTCAAATGATCTTTCTCACAAATGAAGAAACAGCAAAGTGATACAGCTTCTCAGCTGCTCCAAGTTCCTCAAATAAGTTTTATTTTTGCAAACAGAACAGTCTAACTTCCTGTATTCTGTGAGCTGCATATGAGCAACATGACCGGCAGCCACATTTGTTGTAATTTTTTAAATATGTGGAAAAAAAGCAAGATATCAACTATGTATTATCTGAACCAAGATGCCAAATTATCTAACTTGTTTCTCCAGGCAAGCAGTCCAACAACAGGGACAGCTCCCAGGAGCCAGTCACGGTTGTCTGTCTGTCCATCTACTCAGGACATCTGCAGGTAAGTGCTGGGCAAATGAACCTATTCCATTTCCTTTAGTTCTAGTGTATTGTGTTCCTTGTTTACCTGTGTAGCTCTTGCTTCTATCTTATATTGTCTATGGAGAAGTTGTACTGGCTTAATTTGCTCCCTTTATTTTATGTCTTTCAGTTGTTCTTTCTTTTACCACCTTCTAGCCCATGTTCTCATTTTCATCTTTCTCTCTCTTTGTTTTTCCTGGCTTTCCTCTCCATCCTCATTGCCCATCTTCTGCCTGCTGCTCTGCCAGATCTGACATCTTGCATGACATTTCAGAAGATGCGTCTGAGCATTGCACCCCTGTCGTGGTGCTCAGTTCTGCTAGGCAAGAGTCTGGTCAAAAACCAATAAAACAGAGGCCTAGGAGGAGGAGAAGGACTTCAGAGAGATATGAGCATGCAGGTGAAAAGACGAAAGGGAGAAGAAATGACTTTCACCTTGCAATCTCAACTCCCAAGTGGAGTGAGCTTCAGACAGATTCTTCAAATTCATCATCTTCAGATGAGAGTCATTGGATTCAGGCTAAAAGAAGAGCTCAAATTCAATTCAGACTCTCACGGAGAAGAAGGATAAATGATAATAAGTCTTGTGGAAATTTAGATGAGTCTTTCACTCCTAGTAGAACTGAACTTGCTGATTTGGGAGCCAAACGGACAAACCAACAAGAGCAGCTCACTTGTGAGAGTTGCTTATTAAATCAGCGGAGAGGAAAGAGCACAAAGTACCAAGAAAGCAGTCTTTCTATGCCTACAGAATCCTTTGAGATGAGCGCATCCTCAAGGATTCGTGAGGAAATCAAAGGTAGATGCCACCAAAGAGGCCCTCAGCTCTCACATAATCCTAAGCAAACTGAAACAACCAAGAAAAGATTTTTGGAGAGAGATTCCAGCACTGAAATACTGGATGCTCCAGAAGTTGGCAAGTGTGTGGATGATACTGGGCCTCAGGTGAATACCTCTGTTCAGAAGTCTTCTGCCATCTACGATGATGAGTCTGATAATTTTGAAGTATGCAGGTTAGTCACTATTGAGAAAGACTTGATGTCATTCAAATGCATAACTTCCTCCTATGACTTGGGTATGTGTCCGGCACCTATTCCCAAAGTTGCACTTTATTCTGTTTCATTGATATAAATTGATAAAAAAGAAAAGGTGGGCATTAGAAAAACAACACATAAAATGTATCCATGGATTTAGAAGCTATTACAGAATAGCATTAGTGATCCTTTCTCTTTAGTTTCTTTTCATTAGAATTATATTTTGGCAAGGAGACTGTGAAGCCCAACAAGTCTTATACTGATTCTAGTTAGACTAACATTGCTGGAGAGAATCTAAATGAAATTGTATGAAACTTTAGGTTTTTCAGGGCAAAGGGCTAAACTGCTAGCCCTCTGACAGAAAGCTCTTAAAGGTTTGTCCCTTCTAGCTCTGATTTCAGAGGATAGCCTCTGAAATTGGTGCTCATTTGTTCTTCAAATGTGTAACTCAAGGATTCAAGACTAAAAGTGCACAGGCACAGCTTGTAGACCTCTCTCTGAGTTTACTGGAGTCTTTGAGGATGGAAACCACATTAACTTCAGTGACACTGATATACTAAAGGGTTTCACTTTGTAGAAATGTCCTAGTTTACGAGATTGCATTCTTCCACTTTTTATCCACAGTATATATTTCAAAAGAATTCCATTTTTGAAAAAGTCATAGGAATATTGATATTGATATGCATAAATGAGGCAATTATAAATAAATCATTAAAGATACAAAAAAATTTCATATCACACAAAATAATTTATATTTATAAGATTTTATCTGGAAGCAAAAAACCCTTTGCTACAAAATGCTTGATGGGTTTAGTTCATTTTCCTAAAGGTTGAGGTGGCTTTATAAAACATGAATTTGTTCTTCTGTGAATCAGATTACCCAGAAAATGTTATTTATGTCTACTGAGGGCAAAGTAAGATGGAGAATGAAGCTACATAGATTAATAACATTAGAATGATGCATTTCTTATAAAAGTTATAAGATGATCATTCATAAAGTGCTCATTTGCTTGTTCATTCCACAAATACCCATCAAGTATCTAGTATGTACCAAACATTTTTCTAGATCTTGACAAATGGCATCATGTGTGTAGTTTCTGCTATTATAGTCCTTAGAGATCAAGGGAAAACACAGGTACAAAATACAGTCAGGATCCATATATAAATGTTAATGTGATAAATATGGTGAGAGTAGATGACAGGAAAAATAACCAGTTGTGGAAAGTCAGAGAGCTTTCTGAGTTAGTGACCCGCAGACTGAGGCTCAAAGGACTGCAGGAATTAATCTAAGAAGGAAGTGGGAAAGAACTCTAGGATGCTAGTGCTAATAGCGTGAAGTGAGGGAGAAAGAAGGACTTGGCTATTGTGGCCAGGGTTTAGTGAGGAAGGAGTGGGTGGAGAGGATGACAGTGGTAAGGGAAAGAAGAAATCCACTAAACAGGGCTATGTAAAACAGGCTAAGGGTTCTGAACTCTATTTTTAAAACGTTCAGATTTTAAAAGGAAGTGGTGCAATTTTAGTTTTGTTTGACTATTTCTTGTAATCTTTTGAACATGATTAACTGTGACTCTGCTGAAAAATTGAACTAGTCTAAACCACTACTTCTGTTTGTAACCCAAGAAATCCCCATTCGCAACCATCTGTTGTCACTTCCTAAGTTTACTTCCAGTATAAAATTTAATGGAAGACTGCCAGAAAGAAGCTGTTGTTGTTGGGTGCCACTGTTAGGTGGTGGTGTTGTTAGAGTCAGTTTTAAGTCATAGCAACACTATGTACAGCTGTCCAGTACTGCATCATCCACACAATCATTGTTGTGTTTGATTTTATTGTTACAGTGATTGTGTCAATCCATTTTTGTTGAAAGTCTTCCTCTTTTTTCTGATTTTGTTTTACTAAACCCTTTCTCAGACACCAGACACTCCTGATAACATGTTCCAAAGTATTTGAGAGAAATCTTGCCATCCTCATTTCTAATGGAGTCAATGGCTATTAGAGAAAAAACAACAAGAGCAGAAGGAAAAAAAACAAACCCACAATGCTTGCATTTAAAGAATTACTAGTCATTACTGATTCTCCTGGCTTAAAAGTAATATTCTGGAGGAACTTTTTCAGAACCTACAGTCTCTTAATGTACATTAGATTAATGGTACCGTAAGTATTACTTCTTGTTGTAGGTTATCAAATATGCTATTGGCAACTATTTTCTAGATACTGAGAATTAAAAAAGTGATGAAAAACTTGCTCCTTGATAAGTGGTAACAATTGAGCACACACTTGAAAATACAAAAGCACTGGACAAAAGTATAGGACAAGACCCAGCACAATGGTAAATAACTAGAAATGATGCAAGAATGTGAAAACAATTCTCTAAGCTTTGACAATACAGAGCCTCTTCAAGAGGAGGTAGGACTCTAAATGAGAGAGGAGAATTTAGATTGTTAGGAGTGCATGAATCACTATTCCAGCCATCTCAGGCAAGCAGAATAACTAGTCCACATAGGGAAAAGTAATGAACTTGTCTATTTAAGAACTTTGTGTGATTTCTGGTGATTAAATTGGGAGATTGGCTTAGACTAATAAGAATTAACTTTAAAAAAGAATGTGAAGGAAATGTATATAGCATTTCAACTCTGTTCTGAGCATTTAAAACTGTTTCAATGGGTTTCTTAAGTCTCAGGAAGGCTCTTCAGATGTTGAGAAAAATCAGCAGGATCCAGAAAGGCTTCATGAAGGTCTCTTTTATACAGTGGAATTCTACAGTTTTCTTATAAAGTTTTGTAATTTATATGTGTAAACTCACGTCAGAATCAACTCATAGGTGACCCTCAAGAGGGTGTTAAGAAGTTGTAAATTGCAGAGAATGAGGTTGCCTATCTTTCTTCCACAGAGCAGCTGGTGGATTCGAACTATCCATCTTTTGGTTGACATTGAAACTCCCCATTGCTAGGCTACCAGAGCTCTGTTCATAGCAACCCTATGAATAAAAGACCTGAAGCCTTTGAACTATTGACATTTATGAAAGTTTGTAGAGTTTCTGGAGGCATGGTGTTTAGCAAGTGGATATCACTCCTGCTTAAAGCAATTTCTATTTATATTTTTATATATTTGTGTTTGTACTTTTTTATCTTTACAAATACACACATTTATATATATATATGTGTGTGTGTGTGTGTGTATATATATACATACATATACATATACATATATACATACATACATACATACATACACACACATATAACCCTGATAGTTTTGTGGTAAGGAGTTGCATTGCTAGCCCAAAGGTATGCCATTCAAATTCTCTAGTGTAGCATGAGCCATGAGAGAAAGATGACAAATCTCTTCCCATGGGATTGTCTCCATCTGAAAACCCCCCAGAGGGTCATGTATGAGTTGGTTCCAACTCAATGACACCTAACAATGACAACACAGATAGTAGGTATGTAGGTAGATAAATAGAGGCAGGTTTGGTGGAGCATTATAGAGTTACAGTGTTCACCTACATCTCTGAAGATACATAGTCTGGAAGAGAAATCTTAATTTCAGAGAACAAGCTGTAATATGAAGGAAACATCCTACTATGTGAGGTACGTAGGGATAGAATAAGAATCATAGCAATGGAAAGTGAAATAAATTACATCAAGCTAGCAAGAGAACAAACAGCGATGTCTTAAAGAGGGTGCAGCTGGAGTGCTCTTTGAAGGCAAGAATGATGAGGCTTCTCCTCACGTACTTTGGGCGTGTTGCTAGGAGTGGCTATTCCTTGGAGAAGGACCTGATTCTGGGAAGGGTGGAGGGTTGGCGAAGGAGAGGAAGGCCCTCAACCAGGTGGATTGACACAGTGACTATTTCAATGGGCTCTTGTGTGTTGGGAAGTGTGAGGATGATGCAGAATAGAAGAGGGTTTAGGCTTGTTTTGAGATGTACTGAACTTGATGGCACCTAA